ATAAAGCAATCTCCTTGTGATTATCAACAGCAGCTAAATCATATTTCACATTTAACTTATGTAAAGATTGTACAAACAGGTTTTCTTTTCGTACCTTTTCTTTTAAATAGGCTTATTTACTGGAAACAATGCATGGCCTGATAGTTCAGCATTCGATACTTTTAACAAACCTGAATATGATGCAACTAATCTTCAAGCAGCACGTCAAGTAATAACATTACTTAAAAATAATGGAAATGTTTTACCATTAGATAATACAAGAATAACGGAAACAAATAAATTATTAATTACTGGTCCAACATCAAATGTTTTGACATCACTTAATGGCGGTTGGTCGTATACATGGCAAGGAGATGATCAATCAATTTATCCAAAAAATTTAACAAATAAAACAATTTTAGAATCATTTCGAACACGTTTAGGTTCAGCAAAAGTTGATTATTATAATAGTTCATCATTTAGTCAATTATATAATATTGATGATTTATTAAATGCTGCTCAATCTGCCAGTTATATATTAGTATGTCTTGGTGAACAAGCTTATACAGAAACACCCGGAAATATAAATGATTTAACATTAGATAATGCTCAATTAGAATTAGTTGAACAAATTAAAAGTCGTACACAAGTACCAATTATTACAGTTCTTGTTCAAGGACGACCAAGAATTATTCGTCGTATTGTTAATATATCATCAGCTATTCTTATGATGTATTTGCCTGGTATGGAAGGGTGTGTATAGAATATATTTCTTTAAGTTTTATAATGATAATTGCTTCTTTTTGTTTTTTGTTTTGATAGTGGTCAAGCACTTGTTGATGTTTTATTCGGTGATTATAATCCAAGCGGACGATTGCCAATAACTTATCCAAAACATAATCAACATTTATCAACATACGATTATAAATGGACTGAAGCAACTGTAGGTAATTACATTGATGTAGAATATGAATTTGGACATGGCTTAAGTTATACCACATTTGAGTATTCAAATCTTAATGTTCCATCAACACTTGAATGGAATGATGAATTAACTATTACATTAAATGTACGTAATAGTGGTTCAAGACAAGGTGATCATACAGTACTTTTATATATTTCCGATCTGTATCGATCAGTTACACCACCAAATAAAGAATTAAAAGGTTATTCAAAATTATCATTAGGAGCTGGTGAACAAAAACAAGTTCAATTTAAACTTAATCGTAATGATTTATCATTCATTGGTATTGATTTAACTCGTCAAACTGAACCTGGTCTTTTTACTGTAACTGTTGGTAATTTGCAAGCTAACTTTAAATTACTTGCTGGCGAGGGACCTATTAGCACAACACCGAGATCTAAATCAATCAATCATCAATATTCGATTTTTTTGATTAACATTCTTCTTTTTTTAGCTATCAAACTGATATAAACACTACAGTGTTTTTTCTCTATTACATAATCGAGCTCTAGGTTATGTAGAAAACATACATTTGATTAAACAATTTTATCAAGTATTTTTTTAAAAGATTAATAAATACTTAATATTATTAATAAGAGATGTTTGATGTACGAAGCAATAATGAAGCATATTTCATTACTTTTGTAATGATATTTGTTTTTTGCGATTACATGACAGTTGTTTCCTGACTAGTTGTTACTATTGAGCGTAAGCGGTGGAATGTTTTGTCTCTAGAGTAGGAAATACAGTTACTGTCTCTCCTATCGAACCTACATTTTGTAACATACAACAGTAGTGGAGATCAGAAGAAAATTCTCAACTTGTGTAAAAAACATGCCAATGTTTATGTTCATCGAAATGCGATCTTCGAACGAAGAGATTCTGATGTGCTTTACCGGAAATGTTTCATACAAAAATATGCTGTATTGTGCATGTCTCCGTTGTTGACAATGTTTAATAGGCATGTGACCCTAATCGCCGAAGGCGAAAGATAATGTTGTCAGATTTTAATTAATTTAGCTCAAATTTCTCGTACAGATTTGCTTCATCCGTAATGAAGGATCCCGACTTTAGTTCATTGACGGTATATGATTCAATATTTGCTTATACAAAACTCAATATTTCCTCAAAACGTTCTGTAAATCTGCTTGATTGAGAATATGTTATTATTAGTTACCATTTGTACAAAAAATGTGATACACTGTTCAAATCTATCAATTTGATGAAGGGAGAAAAATATTTGAGCCTACTCTAGCTTTTGAAGAGTGAATCTAGGGTATAGACTTTTGCTTCCCTAAGTCTTGTACCACCACAGTCTATGCTTATTAAACACAAGTTGGTAGTAGATAAAATGTGGATTCATCTTGTAACAATGTGTCATTTGTCATAGGAAAATAAAAATTAAAGAATAATAGAAAATTTTGACAATAATTAGAGTCCATCTAAGTCTTTATCTGACCGATCTAAGGTATATTTGAGTCTACCCAGGCCTCATGAGTGCGTCGCCTATGCTCTTAATACATTGAAATTCTAAGAGATTGAGGAACAGTACAAATGCGTGAGTAATGGTTAATGTTTATGTCGATGAACGATGGAAATTTAATAGAAGTTATCAATCTATAACAATTATTATTAATATTAGTCAAACATTAGACTTGTACAATTTTGTAAAATTGTAAACAAATACAAATAAATATGGAAACCTCGAACTTAAGTCCGAGAGTTATGTGTACTTCAAAAAGTGAATGAGACAAATCAGTCATCCTAGAATGTGCGGATATACAAATTAACTTGGCAAACCTTTTTTATAAACACTTGAATTCTATTGACTACTGCTCAAGCAATATGATTTGGGGGCGAATACAGCTCAGATTTGAACTCTTCACCTTAATTTACCCTCAGAAGGTCGTTTTTTCTATAACTTGATTTCTATTGGTCAGTGCTCAACCAATAGGGCTTCGNAATCTACTACATAATAAATAAAATTACTCCTTTCTTTGAAAAACACCGCTGGTAACACCATATTGAAAAAATAAAAGCGCCTATGAAAAATCGTTAAATTTTGTTATCATTTCGATGACAAATAAATCATTTAATTCCCCAGACTGAATATTGACCAAAAACTTACGAATAATCAATATAATTTGGATATATTGTGACAAGATCAAAAATACAATTAGATAATCGTTGTAGTTAACTATGTATCATGCTGAATTGCAAACATACACAGGCATGATGTTAGAGTTCGACAGTTCAGATTCGATTCCCAGAACATCACATGGAATTGAAACCGTTAAATTATCAGATAGATACGAAAATTTTAAATCTATTTTGAAATATTTTCATTATTGAATCGTTGAGATTAAAGACACTAGAGTTCAACACTTAAGAAATATTATACATCTATACCGAAATTTTTAATCTGCAGAATGAAAAAATGAAGATTTCTCTGCATAGGTGCAAGAATTTTTGTATGTTTCGGATGATTTAACGGTCCCAGTTTGGTTCTTGGTTCCAGTTTTTTGAAATCGTCGAACTCTATCTGATGTTCTTTGTTCGAATTTCTTTTTGGCTATCACCTCTGGTTAGAAATCTGTATTATACACATGATTTTACAGTATATGCAATAAGCAAAGTGTTGCAAGTACAAATAAAAATGAAATACGAAAGATATGATAGAGGTAGGTAAACTCTGGTATACAAAGCTTAAGATTGGTCAGAATGCAAACAAATATTATTGTACATGACGTCAGAACTGCTAAAGACCAAATAGCATTAAAAGATACATGAAAACAAAAGAGAATGGAAATCGTGTGACTCGATATTTTCACTACAGGAAGATCTCATTAAGGTGTAGGAAAGCCGAAAAGACATGAAAATTTCAATAATTTTGCTCATTTCATTTCTTTAACTCCTAAGGTTGTTGTGTCTCTTTAGATTTTTCCTAAATAAAAAGAGATATTTAATGGATATTATTTTCTTCATTTTTATCATTCTTATATTCGGAATTATCATAAAAAAGTTATGTACTCAAACAATTAATCCATATCGGTTTCCAAAAATTCTGAATTGGGCTCGACAAGGAAAATATTTCAATTTTAATGGTTATCCAATATTTTATTATGAATCGAGTGTACGTGATGCATCAGCAATGTCAAAACCAACCTTATTACTATTACATGGATATCCAACTTCGTCAATCGATTGGTTATATATGCGAGATGAATTAGAAGAACGATTTCATATTATTGCTCCAGATTATATTGGTTATGGTCTTTCAGCGAAACCGATATCATTTGCATATTCGATATCTTCACAAGTAGATATGATTGAACAATTGATGAGTTCATTAAAATTGAATCAATTTCATATCATGGCTCATGATGTTGGAGATACAATTGCTCAAGAATTCTTAGCTAGACAGATTGATGATAGACAATATATAATTCAATCAACAGTTTTTCTTAATGGTGGTTTATTTCCAGAAGCTCATCGTCCATTTGTCATGATGAAAATGTTAAAAACACCTATTATTGGAGTAATCATTCAATACATAGTTCCTCGATCGTTATTTAGTTCAGGAATTAATCGTGTTTTTGGTTCATCAACAAAACGGACTAAACAAGAATTAGATGAAATAACTGATTTATTATTCTACAATGCTCCATATAATCTAATACAACAATTACAATGTTATCTTAATGAACGAATTACATATAGAGATCGATGGGTTAATGCAATAAATAAAGTACAAACATTTGAGAAAAATCCTATTTCTATAAGAATGATAAATGGTCCATCTGATCCAATTAGTGGAAAACATATGGTGGATAGATATCGTGAAATAATTATAAATCCTGATACTTGTCTATTAGCTGCTCACATTGGTCATTATCCAAATTTAGAAGATCCCGAAAATACATTAAAATATTTTTTTAATTTTCATAATTCAATTTCGACTTAAATTTATCATTAAAATAAAACAAAAAGATATAGAGCAACATTTTTCAAAAGAGACAAAGATATTTATTTTTTGTTTGAACAAAATATACAAAAATTAGTCACTAAATCGACTTCGTTTTGTTGTTGATGTTGAATCAGTTTTACTTGTTTGTCCTGTACGTTTTTGTGTTACTGAACTAGGTACAGCTACTGAATGACTTTTAAGACTAGTATCTGTTGCTGCAACCTACATAGAAAAAAGAATCCTATGAAATAAAAAAAAATCTTGTTGATCAAAATTCATACAAAGCTCGATTTAAATTGCGATTGAAATGCTGCTTTCATAGCTGATGTTCGATTAGTACCAGCCGCACCAGATGATGCAGTAGAACCTCCACGCCAATCTGTCATTGGGCCTACTGTAGTTGTCTGAAAAAACAAGCAAAATATATATTAAGTCAATAATAAGACATGATCATAGGTTTCGTTTGATTCTGCTTAGGTGGGGGAAAATGTCTTCCAAGATTACAGAAAAACTATTCATTCATCAGTTTTCCACAGAAAAGTATATTCTCAACTGAAATTGTTAATAATCTCATTATTAGTCGTGAACATTTTTCCTTCGCCATTATTTCTTGTTTTAATAAATTCGTAAAGAAATTTCAGAGCAATGGGAACAAGTATATTTTTCCTATACACAAAAACTGTTCATATTAACAAGTTTTAAAGTAAAATTCTTTCTAATAATTGTGTGACGTTTTGTTTAATGTTCATCATCAAGTTTGTTTATACATAATTTTTGATTTTACGAGCTTTTATCTATTTTAGATACACACAAAAATGTTTTACAATTTCATCTAAATTCTCTTCTGTAATATCTAATTCTAGTGTACTAAATTCTACGGTTCTCTCTAAAGGATTTGGTAAAAGACTATTACGTAGTTTTGCTTTGATTCATTGTAGCCCACGAAAATTTTGTTCATGTTCATTAGATTCGATTGATGAAGTTGTTAAAATTTGAAACAATTTAAACCAGACAGGTATCAGATATTGAGCTGAATTTTGACGTGATCAAGTGTTAGAGAATTTCATTTCTTTACATTGTAGCATTTATTTCTCCTCGATGGTAAAAGCTAATTCTTTGAAACTGTTTTTTTTTTATAGATAGTGATATATAGATCTACTATCCATAAAAGCTTCATTGATTTTCCTTTAACTCAAGTTGAGACATTTGGAAAATATAGGTCGTTATAAAATTTCATCAAAAATAGAGATAATTTTCGAACACATTATTATTTTAGTTCGTAGATATGTAATACATGTAGGAATGTCATATGTCGAAAGAATACTTCGTATTCGATGAAGAATCTTTTTCCTGCTAATCGACCTTGTTTGTTGATATATTCTATCATCATACTTTACACTAATTTTCGAGTTGTCCACTCTCAGAAAGATTCCGCATGTCCAAAGTACTCAGTACTGCTGGTCAGGAATAGAAACACTTCTATTTGAAATACAATCGATCATTCTGTTTTTAATAGTAGATTCATCATTCTTCACTTTTAAACTTGAATCTTCCTCATGTGTGTATGATCGATGGTTGGTGATGTGGATTTCGTACATAGTATTTTGTTGCATCCATTAAATAAACTTTAGATATACTGATGATCAAACTATACTCTTCATATTTATCTTTTTAATATATTACTCTTCAAAATATGACCTGATTCAGTTTCTCTCTAAAGAATTGGAGATAGAAGTTCGTTTTTACATAGTCAATCTGTCCCATCGAAAGATTAATAACATTGGCTTTTCGTAACAAAAATTTTCCAGGTAGAGAGGCAGAAATCACTCTGTTTTCTCCTCCTAAGTGTATGGTCTGGGTATAATGGTTTACTTTTTTTGTCGATGGTCCATCGTAATCAAAAGGATTCGATGAATCAACAATTGTTTTCGCTGTTGATGAAGATGGTCCACTATGCGAACCAAAACCTGGTCGTTCTCGTTGTACACGATTTCCAAGAGCAAAATGTCTTCCACCACCGCCACCATATCGAGATCGACTATTAGCAAAATGACTATTCTAAATATTCAAATATATATATATATATATATATTTATACATACAAATTTACGTTATCATCAAATTCGTTTTGAACTTACTTGCATAGCCATATTAAGTAACTCTTGTGGAACGGCTTGATTAGCATTTTCTAAATTTCTTACAAGATTTGGTGCAAATTCTTTATCTGCTTGTGTTAATAATGTATATGCTGTTCCTTTTTCACCAGCACGTCCTGTTCGACCAATTCGATGAGTATGTGTATCAATATCACGTGCAACATCATAATTAACTACCGTTCGTATTGACGGTATATCAAGACCACGTGCTAATAAAATTCAAAATAAACTATACAATTTAAAATTAGATATGAAAAGAAAAATGACAAACCAGCTACATCTGTAGCAACTAAAATTGGTATATCACGTTTTTTAAATTCATTGATAACTTGTGTACGATCATATTGTGCCATATCACCATGAATAAGACCAGCTAAAGTAAAAATTATTTCTTTGAAAGTTTTTCTTTTTTTTTCGTTTGAGATTAATTACCAGTAAAGCCACTCTCTTTAAGATTTTTCGCTAATTCGGCACAATTATCTTTACGTGTAACAAATATTAGAACTTTTCCTACTAAACGAAAAAAAAAGAGAACATTAATTTTAAAAGAAAAAAAAATTGAACAAAATACACTTACACACAGTAAATTCAACAAGTTTAGATAAAAGCCATGTCCATTTACTTGGACCATTTTGAACCATATGAACTAATTGAAGAATATCTTGATTAGCCTATTTAAGAAAATAAATCAATAGTTTTATTATCATTAAAATTGAACTTACTTCACCAACTTCACCTTGAACAATTCGAACAGGATCAGTAAGAATATCTCGTGCTAAATTAAAAACAATAATAAAAAGAAATAATTTTATTATGAAAAGAAAAATTAAACCTAATTTTTCGACTTTTTTTTTAAATGTTGCACTAAATAATAAACATTGTCGATCAGGACGTATATGATCAGCAATTGAACGAACTTGAGGTTCCTTTTATAATTTTATTCAATAGAAATTAATATATGTTATAAAGTCAAACTTACAAAACCCATATCAAACATTCGATCAGCTTCATCAAAAACTAAATATGTAACACGTTGTAAATTTGTACCTTTTTTCTTAACTAAATCAATAAGACGACCCTAATCAATATAGAAAATTAGAGTTTCATTTGAAAAAAAAAATTATTTTTCTTACAGGTGTACAAACAAGTATTTCACATCCTTCTTTACAAGCCATTATTTGTTCATGCATATTTCCACCACCAAATGCACATACGGAATTAATATTATATGGTTTTCCATATTTTTTACATTCAAGATGAATTTGTTGAGCTAATTCACGTGTAGGAGCGCAAATTAAAACAATAGGACCATCATCAACTTGAATTTGTTCCTATTCGAATAGAGAAATTCATTTTTACTAAAGAAAAACATAAAGACAAAATTACTTGAGCCATAATATGAACAATAGCTGGCCAAATAAATGCACCAGTTTTTCCACTACCTGTTTTAGCTATACCAATAATATCACGTCCACTCAAAGCACTTGGAATAGCCTAAGTAGAAAAAAACGAAATAATAGTAATAAATATTTAAAATAAATTATTTCTACTTGTGTTTGAATAGGTGTTGGTGTGGTAAATTCCGATTTACGAAGTGTTTTCATTAAACGTTCATCAAAACCAAAATGAGCAAAACTAACGACTGGACGAGGAACATTTAAACCACGAACCTATTATCAATATATATATATAATTAAATGAAAAATCTAACGATAAAAATCTTTCAACTGATGAATCGATTTTCAGTCGAGGTCATCGGCTTACTGCTCGATAGATACAACATTTTTACGGTTTTCGATTCGAAACTTGACATCGAAATAAACCTTAACGAGAACTGTTTATTACGAAAAACTCAGGTCTTTTGTTTTTTCCAATTCTGAAATAAGAACATCGGATCTGCTGATGTATATGAACTTTTACCATTGTCTTTATAATGAAAAGATATGAAAATTTTACAATAAGCTATTCTTCTTAAGGGCTGATTGTATGCAAACTTTTAATTCGAAATTCATTTTTCCTAGTGTTCCGAAAGGGGGACCATAGCACAAGGGCACTCGATTAGGGAGATGGCAGAACTCGTCCTCCAAAATGTTCGAACTTTCTAAGCAAATTCATAATACTTTCTGAAAATTGTTTAGAATTTCTTAGTAACTTTAAAACACCATTAGACTTTCTCAGGCGAAAAGTGAAGTAAAAATAAGTAGGTAATGTCGTTGCGAGGTAAACAGACTTGGAAAGGACGGTTTTTTTGTGGTAGAGGCCGGACCACAGTGGATTTTGTTCTTCTTCCATCATAACTAATTCTAACACTACGAATCTTTTCTGGATATTTATAGCTCATTATGCTATGAATGATGTACATAGTCTTGACTTAGAAGCGCTTCCCTCATAAATTTAAAATAAACTTCTTTACATTAACACCAAGTTTATTTCTTAATTCATTGACTTGTTGATTTGATAGATTACGAATATCTTCATGTTCAACATAAAAATTCTTTTCAAATGGTGAATATTGAATTGTAGAATGATCAATAGGTGGAAGAGGATCGATATGCTAAAAGAAGAAAATAATCATTTTATTATTTATTTATTTATTTTTTGTCTTCTTTCATACTTTAGATATTTCAGGAGCAATTAAATTACCTAGAAAAATAAAAATGCAAAAAAAAAAAATGAAATTATAATTAGAAAAGTACCATCATCATCATATTGTAATTCTCGATCTTCATCATCATCATCTGCTATTGGTACACCAGCATTTGGATTTTCTTCAAGCCAACGAAAATATGATTCTTGATCATCTTCTTTTTCAATATCATCACGTGTTCCTCTAGAATTGTTTTATTTAAATTTATTCTCAGATATTTAAATTTTACTTACTTTTCTTGTTTCTTTTCTTTTTTCTTTCCTATAGATTCTAAATCTCTTTTTGCTTGATTATTATTTGTTTTCATAAATTGTTCAAGTGGATCTTCATCTTCATCTTCATCATCATCTTCTTCGTCTTTCTGTTCTGCTTGATAACTAGGACTACCTGGTGCTGGTTGATAATCTAAATCATCATTCAATTTTCTATTGTTAGTTGTTTTTGTTTTGTTGTATGTCTCATCATCAAGATCATCAGAATCAAAATAACTATTTATTTATTTAATAATAAATATATACATATATAGAATTAAATTAAAATCATACTCTTGTTCAGTACGATGTGCTTGTATAACAACATCAGTTTTTCTAACATTAGCACGTAAATTACTCGGTAAACTAGATAAAAAAAATCAATTCAGATTATACGTAAGACAACAAATAATTTTACGGAAAAAGTTGTTGTAATTTTGGATCGACAGGTTTATTATTTGATGACATTATCTAAGAATTAATTTTCAATAATCAATTTGATATATTACTAGAGAAACACAAAAGAACTATTCGATTCGTCAAAGACTTAATCTAGTAGGAACCATTGATTCTTGTGTGATGTCGCCACAAGATAGGAATAGACGTAGAGAATCACAAAATTTTATTTGTAATAATTATTAACAATAAAAGAAAAAAAAGATTAATCAATCAATTTAGAAAAACCAATTTCTTGGAAGTCCATACAATTAACTTTATTTCCATTTTGATCATATATAACAATATCAGCATAGTTTTGACAACAATCATTTGGTGATAATAATAATTCTAAATTAAAACGATTAATTTCATTAGTAAGAAATTGAATTGTTTCTTTATTGGACAGAAGAAAATTTTCATGACTACCAACTCGAATATTCGATGGATTCATATCTGTTATATTGAGATATACATCCCAATATCTTGATGAACATGAATCAATAGGACCTTGACACATTTCCTATGGCATTTTACCTGATGAAAATAGAGAATTACAAATAGGTGGTTGGATATTATTGAATGGTGATATAATAGCAGTACGTAATGTATATGTATTGAATGCATTTAGTTGAAGTGAACTTTTAACAACAATTGATATATCTGATGGATGAATCAATCAATGTTAACTTATTTGAAGCTTTCAATTCAAAACAATTTGTTTGTATTTCATTTGAATTCAATATAAATTTATTTTTGTTTAATATAATATCAAAAATTGGTAGTGTTTGTGTAATTTTAACATCAACAGTTAAAGTATTTGGGTTATGATTAATGAGAGTAAATTTTACTTTGGCTTTTTGTCCTGATTGTATGTATGACGAAGATTTACCATCAACAATAACATTGAGTTCTAATGTTCGAGGTATAATTTTATGAGAATATAAACGTTCAATAAGTTCATTTCGATTATTTTTTCCTTTTATTTTAATAAAAAAATCTATTGATGGAATCACAATTTTACTTATGTAAATTAATTTATTTTGTTTGATTAATTTATATTGTTGTAAAAGATTATTAGATGCATCAATAAATTCTAGTTCATAAAAGATTATTTCTTGAGAAATGTACTTAAGAATACGAATGAAACTGTACAATTGACTTCCTTTGATCGGTTCTGTATCAATTGGATATAGACCAGGATGACTTAAATTAGTATTTAAAATATTAAATGAATGTTCGAAATGTATTGAAGTGTTTAATGTTATTTCAAAAGATTTAATTAAAGATGAATTTGCTTGAAATTGCCATTGTCCAATTTTTACATGTTGATCATCAAAATTAAAAAGAAAATTCATTTGTGACTGATCAGGAGAAATAAATAAATTTTTAATATCAAACTTTGTAAGAAATTGACATTCCAATTTAATATTGATCACAAATTGAATCGCTTCTACTGAACTATCAATATGAAAACTAAACAAATTCGAATTTGATGAAACTGGATTAATAAGTAAAATTGGTATTGAATGAGTATTTAATGTGTAAGTAATGAGTTTTATAATAGAATATAGATTATTATTTGGAATATTTACTTTCATACCTAATGTTTCAAAAGCCATTTGTTCAATTGCTCTTATTTTTGTTGCTCTTTGCTGAAGGTTACTTCCACGATCCGATAGTAAAAAATGAATCTTACAATTTTTACGCTTAGCAAGTATAAAAATTTCATCACTTCGTTTATTATCATTATCAAATTCATGTGTAAAAACATAAACGAAACAATAATCATTTGATAATGATAAATCTGTAATAATAGCATTCATATGGAATTTATTATTGCCCATGATAGTTAAACTATCAAGAAAATTTAATAATTGATCAATATCATTTGAGTAACAATTGAGAAAGATTGTTTTTCAAATGCAATAATATTAATTTCACAAGGTAATGTTGTTTTATTTGAAGTGACATTAATAATAATTTCTCGTATTATTATTTATATGTTAACAATATCATTATTCATACTATTGGAAAGATCAATAATGAAAATCAATGACTGTTGACATTGTACTAATTCTAATAATCGACCAAAATGTGATGTATTATCATATTTTGTTTCAGTTAAATGTCATAATTTCTTTAGAAATAAATAAGTTGATTCAATAGCTGCATTTGCTGCCTGTTCTTGATGATAATAATGTGGTGAATAAATATTTATTTTTACATCTTTATTAATTCCACCAAGAGCTGGTATATTATCAGTTGTATCAATAATTCCACCATGTGAACATTTAAGAACATTCGTTGGTTTTACTACAGGTTCATCATCTTCAATTTCTCCTTCATCATAACCACTAGTAAATATTTTTTCATGATTTATAAATAGAATAATATTATTAACACATTCATAAAAATATACGTCACAAAGTTTTCGACAATTTAAACATGTTTACATATTTATTGTAGCAATATTTTCATTAAATGCATTAATTTCACCTAATGCTTTATATGTTCCATCTTCACCCATTTCAATCCAACTGGAATGACTATAAAAATCTTGATGTGTATGTAAATATTTACCCAATTGTTCGCGTGCAGTGATATATTGTTCATTTCGAATTGAATTTAGGATTAATTCTTGAGATGTAATTAATAAATTATTTCCTCTAAAAAATCGTTCCGCATCAAAATGATACATAGGACGATTTTTCGTTTCTGGATCATTATCAACATTATCATTGAATTTTTCTATTACATCAACAGCAGCAACATGTCGAATCCATAAGTCAAATTTTTATTTTTCTAAAAATTCAACTTTGGTTTTTACATCTAAATATTCGTAAGATATTTTTTGTATGGCTTTTCCAGTTATACCACCATGACTATAACCAAGACCGAGCAATTCACTGATGAATACATTACTAAATGAATATACAGAATATACAAATAAAAGTAACAGTAGCCACATTCTCATCATTTACTATCTGTCAGAAAAAAAGTTAAATAATTTTTTGTGGTGATTATAGCCAAAACGAATTAGCGTCTTACAACCGGGCTGAATACCTGATATGAAAAAACTTGCCGGGCTTGGTTCAAATTTGAGATCATACCCAGCACTCGACCCATCAATATATAGGATCTCGATATTTCAAAATATTTTTACTTTTGTCAAATTACTATATATATAAAAACATAAGAATAAAAATTGGTTCGATTATGATCGAGCAATTTCTGGCAATTGAGAACCGGTCACAGAAGTAAAAAAATGATTTTGCTCTAGTAAGAGAATTCACTTTTAATAAAAACTCATCTACAGCTGATCAAGAGTAATATGAGAAAATAACTAAATACATAGAAAGAAAAATGGACTATCAAATAGGTGAACATGTATTATCGGGATGAAAAAAGCATCCATGTATGTATCCTTAATTACAAATTTTGGAAGCAGAAAGACACCAAGTGAATCCTGGATTCCTTAATTCACGTGTTTTTTTGTGGAGTTTGAGATAGTCTCTTTTTTTGTTGCTGTTTATGGAAGAAACTAAATAGTATACTTCTTCATATATAAAGTGAAAGTTTGAAAATTGTACTTTGCATGTGAAAGTATCTACCTAATATCGAGTAGTTCCGATCCGAGTTCGAGTGTGAAAAATTGTACCTATGCAGGACAATAATATGAATGAGTTTGTTTTTTTGAAAACGTTCTCTTTGCAGCGTTTCACATCAGAGACTATTATCAGAAGAGGGCAAAATAATTTGCTCTAGTAGCATGCACTCATACTAAAAAGGACAAGATATAGGACTAAAAAACGATCATATGCTCTTCAATGACAGTAGTGTTACTCGATTATATTCTGCTTTCTATACATGTATAATATTCTTTCGAAATGATATAAAAAAGGTATGAGCACTGAAAATTCGATCTATATCTGATTTTACTAATCGTTTCTCAAGCGAACTGGTTACATAGTTTAGAAAAACTTGTGACATACTTGCAGATACCAGTTGAATGATGATAATCATTTATATAAAGATAAACAAAAAGTGAATTACCAGTGCAAAGAATATGAAAGAGATCATACCATAGAAAAATAGATAAGATAAGTAAAAATGGTACGATATTTACAGGTACCTAGACAAAAAAAAGAAGACTGACAAAAATAACAGCGAATTAGTTCATATTTACGCATGTAATATCATCTTACTGTGTGACTAATATGATATTACTATCAATGATATTCCGAAAATGATGGAATAGTATCAATCGATCGTTTTTCGCTTAGTTTCTAAGTGACGAAAAAACGTTTTAAATTTACAGAATTAATGATTGACTTGCCGTCTTGTTTCAATCATTTTCATAGCGGAACAATGTTATTACGAATAATTATGCATGAAAGAAAATTTTAAGTTAAATCAAAATAGACCGAATGATGATCATAGTTATCATTAGTATTCGTTGAAATCAATATTCAATGCAAAATAGTTTATTATGCTTTGTTCTTTGTTTTTATTATGATATTCAATCAGTTTCGTGAAGTTTTATTTCACGTACTAATAAAAATCAGAACGATACGTTGATATTACCATCTGCCATCGGAAAAAATTATAAATATTGAAGACTTAGACTTGATTGAATTGCGATTTATTTCAAGGATATTAAAAGTAAATTTCATCGTGCGTTTTGTTCTAAGTTCGTCATTCAAAAGTCTTTGATGACAATATTGTCAGAAGTGATGCTTTATGATTTTCTATTACTATGGAAAGTAGAGTCAGATGAAACAAAGAAATGAAAGGCATAGACTAACGAAATGGCATTGTCATCTTACTCTTAAGCTAGATTATGGAGTTTCAATACTCTATCTCAGCACTACTTTTGTGTCATCAATGATCAAGCCAATGGTGTTCGCACAACAATACAAATAGGTTCTGCTGCACCGCTAAGACATATCAATCCAATCGACTGGTTATCACACTTGATTTTCTCAATTGAATTTTAAAACACGAGAGAGAGAGAGATTGGAAACTGATCCCTAAATTCTAGCGTCTGTCATTATGAGAATGACTAAAAGTGAACGATTTTAAAGAATATTTCCTTCACTTTTTTCGACAATTTCAATCTCATTATCATAAAAACGAATGACCATTCTTAAGTATGTATAATGTACCGTGTATACATATTGTAAGAATATATTCTCAAATATCGTTGAAGATTTCAATAAAATTCTCCCTGATCTTAATGAACTGATTGATGCGGAGAAAAGCAAGATTATTTTAGACCTATTCAATATCGATTCCAAAAAGCTCTATATACAAAAATGTTTCACTTGAATACGCTCCTACCTTGAAGAACGAGATATTGCATAATTAAAAAGAAAATGAAAAAAATGTAATTTTCTCAATCGTAAGATGTCATAGTCGGAAATTCTTCACCATGTTTTTGTTTCTCAAATAAAATTTCTGAGACATTACCGATGGTTTTCTGGCGAGTAAATTAAGGCTTGTCAGTGACAAGGATACAAAAAATTGTTCGTTGATGCCAGCAACAATCAAAGCTATACATGTCAGTACATAATTCATCCACAAATTGATGAATTATAACTACTAGTAGAAAAAAAGCATAAGCTTTGTCGAATTCATGTTACGAGCGATCAGGTACAAAATATATTTATCAATTTTACACTGATCAAAGACAATAGTTAAAATTTGTTTAATAATGAAAGAACTGACATTCATATATATTCCAATAGTTTCATATTAATATTCAAACTTTCTGATTCTTGTCTCATATCAATGTTTACGAAACTTGTACAAGTTACTTTCTTTTTATGTGTATGTTTTCATTTAGTTTGTAGTAGATCATATATAATATTGGACGCATAATAGTATTAAATAAACCAATATCAAAAAAGCTTTGAGCATCAAATCCATAGAATATATCAGGGCTGGCCCGAGTCAGCAAACATTGGGGGGTTGTCGCGATTTTTTGGGGGGTTGTTTCGGATATTTTTAATGCGAATAAAACTTTTTTCTCACACTACTCACGAAAAAAAATTCATTTTTGCTGGGTAAAAACGAAAATTTTCGATTATTGGGGGGTTGTCACAACCCCCAAAACCCCCTATCGGGCCAGCCCTGGAATATATCAAGGATATTTTTTGACAGAAACTAGTAATCGTTATCTTAAGTTTTGTCCGATTAATGAACACAGTTCGATGATTAGGAGTTTATTTATATTGTTTATATTTAGTTATTAGAACTATTAGATTATTGTGTTTTATTTATTCGACAGATGAATTTACTAGAACAATTACTACTGTTCAAACATTCATTCTTTTGACGTCTATGTCTCTTAATCGATTATATACAAACATGAAGCATGTCATGCTGTAATTTCTACTTTTCAGATCAAAGATACAGGAGACATAGAATATAATGTATGGGCAGATGCTCTTATATATATATATACACGTATGTCCAGTTTTGGAAACAAAATGTTGTTAATATTGTTGTATTTCTCTTTATTTTCAGCAAGTTCCGTATTCATTTATTTTTCTATGAATAAAACAAAACATTGCCGCTTCCTTTTGCTAATGTGATTCTATCATGAATGCTCATCTCAATTTCAAAAGTAAAAGAAAAAAAAAGCACATAATCATCACCGATAATCTGCTATGATTGAATCAAATAAGCCAAAGTATAAACATGATCTTTTTTTCTGCTAGTGAAGACGAGAGAGAGAGTGATAATCGTCTGAACTTAAAGAACAGAAAGAAGCACACACACATCAAACACGATAACTAAACAAACAAACATCCTGCCGTGTCTTGATTCTTATCAGTTAAGCAGTAGCAGTATTTTAATTGGAGATTGTTTCCTACATAATGATCAGTCCCACCATTTGGTAAATTGTAAAGAATATTAATAAAAAAAAAACTTAGCATTGATCTCAATCGCATACACGATCTATTGTTCGTTGATTATTCTGCAGGAAACAAATGAACAAATGAACAGTCATTGCGATAATCCAGATATTTTCAGGACATAAAAAATGAAAAGTGGCTGTTTGATGGACGTTGAAAATATCTCAGTCCAGTAGCTTTCAAGAATACGGGAATATCAATAGAACCTTCATCATAGCGTTGCCACAATTTCATTAAAAATTCATCTGTTATGACTTATGTTTCTGACATTTAGGAGTTCGAGTCCCCTAATCTCTCATATTCTTGCAGTAAAACAATTGAGATGTAAACTATCGGATGTTGAGAGTTTACATGTTTTCTCATTCAGCAATGTCGAACTTTCAGATAATTAATAGTACGTAGTGTTATGTTACATTAGGAAAGTTTATTGCAATTTTTGTTCTGACAATACATTGATTGTCGCAACGATTACTCATTTGTTCATATCTCTTCTTCAAAATAATCAATGGAAAGTAAATCCTCATATCAGAAAAACGCTAATTGAAATAAATTTTTTACGGAACTAGCGGACAGTGAATTGCGCACGCGATTTACACTGTGTGAAATTTTTCTCTCATGCTTCATAATACGTCAAACATCCAGTGATAGACATAGTTATGCGTATACAAATAATCAACCGTAACGTTAAACAAATCATATGAAAAAAAATATATTCATGGAAGAAAACAAAAGAACGACAAAGAGTTCGGTGCATTATGCTAAATAATCTGAATGGCGCATGAAAATATTCTTCATTATTGCGAGCGACAACCAATCGAATTCTTCTATAAATGTCGAAAGAGGAAGAAAAAAAGGCAAAAAGATAATTTTTTTGTCTATCATTGGATAGAAAAGAAAAAATAAATGTATACAATGTCTATCAATTAAGAGAAGAAGAGAGTAGTCAACAAGATGTTATGAGTCAATGAGTGAACCAATTTCTATCAGTCATCAAACGTACGAGCACACACACATTGCATTGACGATTAACAGAGCTACGTCTANAGAGAACAACTTCATCAATCTTCAATTGAAGAAAAGTTTATTCGTTCTGTACGTATATCATTTTATTACTATAAAAATAAACTTAACAAGTGATTTGTTCACAAGGCATTTTTCCATTTAATAAAGAAAATGTTTCTATTAAATGATAAATAATGATAGATCCAATTAATGCACCTAATTGTACATTAACACCATACCAAAACATTCCATTTGAAGAATAACTTCGAACATAATTTGCTATAATCAGACGAGGATATCCCAGAAGTACATAAGTACTTAGCCAAACAATTAATATTAGAATATCCCCTTTTTGTGTATTAACAAATGGTGGACATGGACTTTTAAATGCAACAAACATATCAAAAAAAAATGTTACTGTTCCACATAGAATGAATATAAATATATAAAACTTAGATATTAAAGGTTTTATTATTCCAAAAATCCAAATAAGTGTTAACATCCACGGTGATAAAATTGTACCTAAATAAAAGATGCGATGTCCATATGGCATTAGAACATAAGGTGAAACTGAAAGAAGTATTCCAAATAGAATTGAACTTGTATAGGCACATCCTAATAGAAGAATAATACAGGATGTTTTATTTAAATGAAATGATTCAGATGCAATTGGTTTTTGTTCCACAAAAGTATTTGTGGTTTCCATATCATCTTCAATTGATTTGGAATATATTTTAGGTAAATTCTGATATGTTGTTCGAGCAACTTGTGTCCATTGTAATAATACAAAGGAAATTAATGAGATTGTTAAAAGAAAAAATAAACATAAAAAATAGATAGAGACTGAAAATCGAGCAGTTTTATAAACAGCTTTTGGAGTATTAGTTCCATTAATTGATGGAATACAATAAAGTTGTCCATTGCCTTGTGCAATAGCAAGTATACTTGGTATAATTGATGTAAGACTTTCACCAAGAAATAGAGCACTTGTAAATTCTTTTCGAAATCTTTGTATATAATCAGCAAATGAAACTGATGATGTACAATCAAGTAAAGATAGAAAAAAAGCAAGTATAAGAAGTGCTGTACTATGTTTTTGATTTTTTATAATTGTTGTATATTGCCAAAAAAATACCAATAAAAAGCAAGAGAACATACCAATAATAATAATAATATAATTAATTGGTATAGGATTAAATTTATATTTTTTATATAAACATTGAATAAGAACAATTGAAGCCGGTGCTATATTACCAAGATTTGTAACAAGTGCAAGATATGCACCAAGTTTCCAATGTTCTGGTTGTGTTAAGACAATTTGTGGTAATTCAGCAAATATTCCATTAATATCTGTCCATGATGAAAGAAAAACAAGTGTTAAAAGAATATAAGTTAAATATTCACTTAACGTCCATTTATTTCGATTCATTCTAAAATATCAAATATTTTATGGTTAAAGGAAAAAAAACGAATTCGTATTATGACTCAAGAATTGCATAAATAGTATGTGCAAAAAAAAAAAACATTTCTCGTCGACATTTCGTACATATTTTATTTCTCGTTCTCTTTCGTTTACTATTTTCATAAATAATATACTTAGAAAATATACCAGACACGTAAGAATAAAGGTCAACATAATCGATATCCTTTTCTAAACCATAACAAAAGTGGTATTTTACGTTCATAATTATCAAAATAATGATATAGTTCATTATCATCAAGTAGATTTGTTTTTTCTTGAAAAATAATTCTTATATAATAAATATAAAAAATAGTTAATAATAAAAGATAGATCATATAAAAATAATCATTATAATTAATATTTGTTGATGGTTGAACAATGACTTGTTCGAAAAGATCATGAACGAAAAGAGTATCACCAATAGATTGAAAATTATTTTTTTGTTCGATTATATAATAATTATGATGAAAATTTATTTGTTTTTTTCGAATAGAATATGGTGAATGATGCAATGTTGAAATAGATTGATTATAACTCATTTATTTCTCATTCTGTTGCTATGAATTTAAAAAAAAAAACAAGCAATAAATATAAATAGTTTATTTAAATTAATGACATGCTAATTAAATTTATTTTATTAGTCAAAATAAGAAGAAAAAAAAACGAAAGACATTAGTGGAAAAGTTAAAAAAATGTATCACGCTAATTTTTTCACAGGTATTTTTGACATTCAGCAGGTGGATTCGAACCCTAAAGAATAAAGAAAAAGATTATTACTTTAAAAATTTAACTTTTTTTCTTTTGATATTGTGACATTTAAAAATGTTCAGTGTATCAAATGTCAATTGATATAAGTTAAATAATATTTAAAAATATCAATCGACTGATGAATTATGAAATTTGTTTTTAAATCAATCTGTTTATATATTTAGTTTCTAAATTACTTTATATGTTTTGCATATTAATCCAATAAGATCTTTCTCAGCTTCTTGCTCCATTTCTTCAGTATGTTCACCATTGACTGTTATCCAAGGTACATATTGATGTGGTGGTTGAAGATTATCTGTTTGTACGGCATATACATGTTGTAATTGATTACCTAATCGACTTTGGACACAAGCACTAACTTTATCAAAATCTACTGAAGTCTTTTGTGCACATTGTTCAGCTACTGTTTCAACATCACCTTCTGTTGATTCTGTACAATAAATAAATGGCTAAATTATAATAAAAAAAATTATTCAATAGACTTAGTTTAAAAAAAAAAATATTTCTTACTAAATGGCTTGTCGTATTTGCATATAAATATATAACACAAGTCTAAGAAAAAGAAACGAAAATAAATCAATATTATCTCGAACATATTTACATGAATTAAATTTCCATAACATTCATCGGCACCATGTTGACAATAGAATTGATATAATTTAGTTTCGGGTCGATATACTTCACGTGCATTTCCATATGGAACAAAACTAATATTAACAATATTAAGAATTGCTTGATAAGTATTCCAAACTTGTGTTGTTATAAATTGTCGGCAATCTGGACAAAGAGTTTCATAATAGATCGATAAATTGACACGATCATTAGTATCACGAACTTTCCAAACATATTTATTACATTGTTCAATTACCTGAAATAAAAACAGAAAATAATTAAATAAAGATTTTAAAATGAATTACATACACCACAAGCTTTTGCAATATCTTTATTGTCACACCATTTAGCTGATGATTTTGGACAATTGATGGCTAAACCACCGTGAATATAAAAAATAAGAATCGTCGAAAATATAAGCGACACGTACATGATGATAAAACTATCTGAAATAATAAATATTTCGCTGGTAATGACGAAAAAAATAAGATAAAATTGTTACATGAATGTAAAATGGCGTTGACTGAAGAGCGTATGTGTTTATCTTCTTTTTATTTTATTATCTAATATCATCAAAAAATGTACCCAAATTTCGTGCTATGATAACAATAATACTCAATTCAAAAATAAAAAAATTGAATAGTAAATTAAAAATTTCGGTAATAATTCATATAAAATATCTCATGGGAAATCTTTTTCTGTTATTGATCTTTGATTAATGATAGAAAACTTCAATTATCTAGGGTGAAATTAGAAAATATGTTTTTGAATAGAAAGACAAGAAAACTTGTCTACTCCCAAGTCGAAAATGCATGATTGTAAACAGCCGTCAACAATGAAATATGATCGTCGAATATAATGAACATCTACAACAATATTGATTGAAATACAATTGACATTTACTCTCAATATAAACGATCGTCAGGCATGACTATCGTATACGACAATAACTTAGGTTTGAGTTCAGATGTTCGCCTTGATCAAGAGTTTAATCGTTTAACTTCATCATCAAACTCCTCGGTAAGTATCAATCACAAAAAGAAAATAAAGAATATTTTGTTTAAAAATATCTTTCAATATCAAACTCAATGGTAAAGTTTTACTTATAAAAATTAAATTGTATTTCTTTATTTAGATTAAGTTCAATAGCAGATCCAATCATAAGTATGAATTTATAATATAAAATTATTTTCTTTTATTTAGGTTTATCTCAATAATACAATACAAAGATATCGATTAATTTATAACATTAATTTATAAATTATTATTTAGATTTAATCAAACAACAAGTCCAATAGTAAGTACTTAGATTGACAAATATGGAGGAATACGATGGTCGACGTCAAAGTCCTGAGTAATACAGAACTCTTATATAAACTTCGTAAAAAATAGTATGTCTCCATATCACGTACGGATAAATACGATGACTTACAGTTGTTTACAAGCGTGCTTATTCGACCTGAGTTCATATCGAATAAAAGTTCATTTCTATTGTATGTCATGCTCTATCCATCATAATAATTAATTATGTGATTGATGTACTTTGTTCGTTACTTGAATGGCGCATATATGAATAAAATAAATCCTCAAGTAGAGCTGATTATCTTCGGGATAGTATTTAATATTCAGATTCTTCATTCTCATAACATATTCATAAAATTCCATTTAATTGCGATTTAATATTCATCATGAAGAATTACTCTAATAATGTACACTAACAACTAAAATATGTTCATTATAAATAGAATAGCTTAGATATGATAAATATTTAATTATTGAAATAATTTTAAATTCAGAATATAAATTGACACAATGATTAGTTATGCCATTATTTGCAGTAGTCAGTGCTGGTGATTTTTATATTCTGGAAAAAAAAGAAAAGAAGTTACATTTTCGACCTATGTCTTCTCTTTGTCCATGTTAGTTCTTTTATTATCGCCATTTATCTTTATTCAGTAACACAAAAAGGAAAAAGAGATAAAATTAAATATCTATATTCACAAGAAAAAAAAACAGAAGAACATTTCAAGAGTCACCATCAATCGATAATATCGAAAGAAGAATCAAGAAATAAATTTTATATTAAAGTATTAGCAACAAAAAGCCTAGAGAAATTATTGTTATAGAATAGCAAAATGAAATTTTATACAATTGAGGACATGTCAAAATGCAAAATACTAAATCGCGCACAATATTATCACATTAAAAAAGAAAAGACATTTATCAAATAGAGAATATTTTATGTATTGTTTTTTTGGTGAGTTGTAACGATCTGTATCTAATGAATAATAAAGAATGGCGAAAAAAAATAATAACTATGGACGGAACTCAACTCTGTCTCTCTTACTCAACAGTTTTTTTTCTTTTAAGTCTGTTCAAAACATACTGTATTAAAAAAAGAAAGAAAACATTGCTATATATTGCAGTTAGATCAATAAAAATCTATTATTGCCCAATGACTAAATAATAAAAATAAAATATTTTATTTTGAACATTTATGTCCAAAACCATGTCGGTGCTAAAATTTCTTTAGCTGGTAATCGTGGTCCAAGATATTCTTTTGAAAGAAATTTATGTGGTATTAATACCAAATAGCCACGTATTGATTGAAGTAAACGTCGTGCTTCTTCAGGATTAGTTTCACAAAGTTTTGAAGCTGATTGAATTTCACGCAATTGAGAAAATGTAAAAGCCGAATCGGTGGGAATACAATTAAAAATCTAAAAGAATAAAAAGAAAAACTATTAACATAATGTAGCTGATCTTACTAATAACATAGAGATTGCTTTAATCTATCTATTTTCAAATACATTTCGTCATCATTCTCTTCGAAAATCTAATAAGAAATCAGTTTTTATATTAGTACGAGACCTTATTGATATACGATCTTTGATCGTATATCAACAACATCTGTTGCATTCCCGAAATGTCTATCACAGTTTATGATGAATTCCGAAAGTATCTTTCACCGTCTGTCGGACGCAGGTGTGGATATAAGTTTCAAAGAACAAGAAAATACCTTTTCAAACATTGTTGTATTTCTTGCTGCTGTAGATAACCAAATATCTTTATAAAATGAATCTGATATAGGATCTTGATAATTTATTTGTCTTCCATCAAAATCTCCTAAATGTTCTCGAAATAATCGTTTACGTAGACCACTTGCAAATTTTCCAACTTGAACATTTTGTCCATTCATCATTCCACGTACAAATTCAGTATCTTCAAATAGAACTGATATTTCAGAATCTCTATCACCAACTAAACTTCTATCATTTATATTTGCTGATCCAATTAATACACGATTATCATCAACTATGGCTAATTTACTATGTACATAAACAATTTCTGATACAAGACGTCCATTCATTTCTGACCATGTTCGTAAACCAAAAAAACATATATAACGATGTGGATCACCAACTTCTTTTGCTAAACGAGCTAATAATGATTGTTGACCTTGAGATATTGATCGATAATTCCAATGAGTTATAGCTTGTAAAGCTGTAGCTTTCGATGTACCATATTGTCCTTCAAAACCGGGTATTAATGGCATCACAAAATAAACACGAAATGTTTCTTTTTCTCTAAAGATAAAAGAATTATTTGAGTTCTATTTCAAAAATATGATATTTACTGATGTGCACGTAATATTCGTTTAAATAAAGCTTCAGCTATACCATTACGTACAGTTGAATCATCCATTAATGAAACAAAAAATTGATTTTCAATATAAATATAATATTTAGCTTTAGTTATCATATCAATAAAAGCATAATGTATAGATTCTTCGGTATCATTTCTACCTGTTGACCATCGACCAATACTTCGTAATCCCTTTAAAAAAGCATAAAAAATAAAAATAAAAATTCACACTTACAAAAAACAAAATATGTTTTTTTTTTTCGTACTTGTGTTGAACAATTAAATGTATTCGAAAGAAGTTTAGGACATGGTGTATAGATGCCATAAGTTTTTGGTAATAAAAATGGATAACGTTCATTATCTTTAGTTTTTTGTCTTTTTACAAAATTCCATCTTTCAATAAAATGTCTTGCTAAATCTCGAGCGCAAGCACCATATACAAAAGCTCCAATATCATGCCATGGCATACGTGGTGTTGTATTTCGATCGATTTGATCTTGAAATGGTTGATCAAGATTACGAAAATCTCGAAGTAAAAAATTTGCATAATCTTTACCAAACCATAATTTTGATGAACCTTGTAAACCAAGTTGATGTGTTGTAGATTTCATTGATGGACCAGTAAATGAACTCATATCATCATGTAATGAATCACGATAATGATCATTATTATCAATATCTGATTGATCAGATTCATTTAAATCAGAACGTTGTCTCCAAGTTGTTTTTAAATTTAATTTAACACGACGAATTTTATCACGTAAGCGTATACGATCAAGTGTTGGACCAACATTAGTACCAAGATGACGATTAGATGTTGTTATTGGTTGTGTTTCTATTGAATTTCTTCTTGGCATTTGTGTAAGAGCTAATGTTGAAACATCTTCAGTTGATTTTGTAAAACGATTTATTTTTGATTGAATACCAAGTTTAAGTCTTTCCCAACGAGATCCACTGTCTGAAATGACATAAATTATATACATATGTAGTTATATAGAAAGCAATTAAAAACACCATGTGAAACTATATCGTGCACAACTTAATGAAATAATGATATTTTATCAGTTACAATAGATCACATTGAAATAAAAAATAGCGGACATTATATTAAATACAAGGGACAACAGACAAATCGAACATTCGTTTACTTACAAGTCTCGGTTGAAGAATAATTCGGTTCTATAAATGAATTAGTTTTACGATAGACTAATGTTGAACTTTTATTTTGTTTTTTTTTTCTTTTTGATTTTACTTATAAGCATACCTTTATTTAAAGCTTCAATTGTTTCACGATGAAAAGGTGTATCAAATGAATAAGATCGTTTGAGTGGCCATATAACATCTCGTTTCTTTTTTTGATCATCCGATAAAACATTAGGTCTATCATCGGGATAATAACTTGCTCTTCGACGAGCTAAAAGAGATGAAAGTTTTTTTGCACGATTATTTGATTCAGCATTTAATTTTGCCATTTTTTGTTGTTTAGTTTCTGTTTGTGAATCCGATGCATTACCACACGAAGAAAGCCTTTGACGTGATGATGTACTAGTTGCTCTTCGTCGAGTTCCTCCATCAGGTACAGAAAGTATTGTTCGATATAATCGACGTTGTTGTTGTCCTTCTTCATTTTCTTCTTGTTCATGATTAAGAATATATTTTTCTAAAGCTCGACTATAAACACTATCTGATGTTGTATGTTGATCATTTATGTCTGACTCTCTAACACTTTGATCTTGACGACGTGTATGACGTTCACGATTTTGAATCATATTTAAATATGTTTGAGAATCAGCTGATGATAAACGATGTGTACGTTTATATATATTTGAAAAAAGTGTATGATTAAAATGATAAATTCGATGTTTTTTTTGTTGTTCAATTAATTGTCTATGTTGCATATCCATGAGATGAACTGATTGTTGATCAATATCTGATGATGAATAACGTCGTGTTGGATTTATTGCTCGATCAATTGTATCACATGTTTGATCATTAAGTGTTTTTGACATTGAACGATTTGATGATAATGATACTGAATTATCATTTATATTATGTGAAATTGAATCAGATGAATGTGGTTCTTTAAGATAATCTCTAAGATGATATTCACTACGAAACTGAGCAAGTTTTGTTGGAAAAAATAAATCAGTAGTAGTTATTGGACGTGGTGATGGAGATGGAGTTCCTTCAGTTGTTGGTTCATTATGATCATTTGCATCTATAAAACGATTACATGTTGCACTATCAAGATCAAGTGCATCAATTGAAACTGGTGGTTGAGTTATTTGATTGATCTACATAATTTTATAAAGAAAACAAAAAGAGTTCATATAAATTCATCATATGCTGATATAATCAACGATCTATGATACTTTTTTCTTTGCAATAGAATTATAATTGATATTTTCAAAAATTGATTCGAAAATATTTCCTATATTCTTCCTATTACAAGCCACCATGGCTGAGTGACTGTATTGTTCGATACATATTCATAAGGTGCTACGTACAAAATTTAGTACCACCAGCCATAGAATGACTCTGAACAAGTCACTAATGACTATTTGTTTCGGATCACTCATCTAATATTATGATGACTACGTTATGACATACACTTGCTCTGGTGATTCACGTAATCGTAAGAAATTCTGCTACCGAGTACAAAGTACATAAACTTCAATGCAAATAGAGTTCGGTAAATTCTGATCGCAAGCAGTGACCCAATGTCAATAGACTCTAATGTAAAAGATTTATGATGATAACACTGATTTTTCTCTAAAGCTCCGAAAAGGCTTTTTTTTGGCACTTTTCTGGTTTTTCACTGTTTAAACATGTCAACCGCCATTTTCTTATTAACTAATAAATATTTCCATGTCCTGATTATGTCATAGATAGGGTACTTCAATTCGCTGTCATTTTGAGGCCTGATTAAACTTCGATTATCTTTGATGAGGTTACTACGAATCTCTTCTCCATCGATGATTGCGATCGTAAAATATGATTAGAACAGAGCACTCATTGCAGAAAAATATGAAGATTATTTCATAAATCATGGAAACTAAAATCACTTGACATGGAATCTTTTTTTTTATGATAGAGGCAATAATAAGCTGTCAAATGTCAGGTCTGACGTCATAAAATTTATTAAATTTTTCTATTTTGAGATATTATTATCTGAAGAAAAAATCTTAGACTATAATACTCAAATAATAACTTTAGGTACTTTTTACTCCATAGTACGACTGTTTTGCGATTATTGTAACTATCGTGTATGTAGACTTCAAGAAATCTGCATTAGATTGATCTCCTATTGAGGGCTACAGCTAGTATTCATTGAAGGAAAGATATCGAGCTGTTGAAACTGCCGATAGGTAGTTGAAATTAAGAACAAAATTCTCTTACAAATGGAACACTATGTGTTCTTGGTACACTTTGACCTGCATGATGTTTCATTGGTAATGCACTTCCGAAATCAGTTAATCTAAATAATAGAAAAAAAACACAAACGGTATATATGTATATGTATAGAAAAATTCTATGTATATCTTACAAATGTTGATAATTATCCCATCGACCATAACATAAATCAAATCCTCCGAATAATGCAATACTTTGATCAATAATAACTAATTTTTCATGATGTCCCCAAAATAATACAGCATTTTGACCTGTATGATCCGGATAACGAAGAACTTTAACATTTTCTGGATGTGCTTGAAGTAATTTCCTTTTTGAATAAGAACTATTTATTCCGATAGCTAATTCAACTTCTTTATATAATAAAACAAATATTCGTACACCTTCATTCTAAAGTCATTAAAATTTATTGATTAATTAAAGAAGAATATTTGTTGACTTTTTTTCTTACCGCTTTTTTTTCTAACATTTTATCAAAACGCCATTCATCAGATAAAGCTGGACGTTTAAGATAAATTTCGGGACTAAGAAACCAATCAGTTATATAAATTTCTTCTGTAGCTGATTTAATTGCAATAGCAACAGCTTCCATATAATCAGAACCATCAACAAGCCATTGACATTTTGTACTTACTCTTATCGGAGCAAATGAATTAAATCGTTTTTCAATATAAAAATCTCGACCTGTTGTTTTTAACATTCGATTGATATCATCGAAATATTCAATTGCTTTACGTTCAGTTGGACAATTTAAATAAAGTCGACTTAAAAAAGAAAAACAACGCATAAAAAATTTCTTCAAAGTAAAAAAACAAAAAAAAATTTTACCGTGATAAATTCGAAATATATAATTTTTTAACTGAACCAGTATGAAGACGACCAGTACGTACATGAAAAAATTTATCAACAAGCATAACAGCACGTACATGTCCTGTTTTAGGATTTAAATAAGCAATCCAAGAGTCTTTTGTTATTAACCAACGTTTGAGCCATTTAATACGTGCACCAATATTAGCACAACAACCTTGTCTATAACCACCTGAATGTTTTTTTACAATACCTTCTTTATATTTACGACCTAATTCACTCATAAATGATAATGGAGATGATTCAACAAATTTTATCTATAAAAAAAAAACAGAAAAAAAATAGATTTGACAAATTTCTTTTGAAATTTATAAAAACTTACACATTCATTATGAAGTGAAAGAACTGGATGATTTACTATGGAATTTAATTTTTCAGCTACAAGTTTCTAAAATAAAAGACGAATATAAGAAAAAAAATTCTTTTTTTAATTCATACTTCACGATCATTAATATCGCTATCATCAACAAGCATATCAGGTTTAAGTGTAAGACCTTGTACAGCATGTGAATGTGACATCTGACGACGAATTTCACGATGTCTAACAAAATAAAATGTAAAAAAGTAATATATTCAAAGATTAATTATTTATTTAACATACGATGTAGTTGGAATCGGTAAAGCAGCAGTTTTTTGAAAAACATTCATACGTTCAAAAAATATAACTAAATCTTTATATTTTTTTGTTATTGTCCAATTGAATTCTCCATGCCTTAATGTTATTGTATATCTTTCAACAAAAAAAAACTGTATTAAAAAGAATCCATATAAGAGAAAAAAATTGTAAGAGCGAAATGAGTCATTTTATAAAGCATTTTTTATGTGATAAGTGTGTTCTTCCATTTTTCCCTTGCTGTGACTACCTGCTATGTAAACGTTCAAGCCAATTTTGCTCATTTGTACTGGGCTGTCTTCGACAGCTTTAGGAATAAAAAAAGAAAATGTCGAAAGAAAAACTAGATTACTTACAAAAATGGATTCAGACGAAAATGATGTTCACGACTAACAGCAACATTAACAACAATTACATCTGTATTCGGTATAAATGTCCAATGACGTTCACGATTTTCAAAATAAGTTTTATATGGAATTGATGTTGATTGATTACGACGATGGCTTACATTATTATTTTCTTAAAAATAGAAAATAAAAATTTATTCAAATAAAAACAAAAATTCATTATTTCTATTACCATAACAATTATTAATAGTTAGATTATGAGTATCTCCGTTTCGTACATATAGAGTAGAAACTGGTTTATATGTTTGAATACAATTTTTTTCTTCTTTTACTTCTTCTTCTGATGTTGTTTCATCATCAATACCAGCAAATTTAAGTGTTAATGGACCAGTAGATGAAGGATCGTCTTGTTTAGTCATCAGCGTTTATAAAAAGTATAAAACATTTATAAATGATCTAAAATATATCAAGGTTAAATTTGACATTTCACATTTATTTCAAGGTGATAAAATATTTGTTAACTTGATGAAAGACATGCATAAATGAATATAATGACATATGCGAAGTAAAAACATGTCTTTGGTTTGACATACAAAAGAAAAACAATTGAAAATGTTACGGTTTCATTTTTTTTTTCTTTTAATTGACTATAACAATTTAGGTTGCTGAGCATTAGGAGATGCTTCATTTGATTCATTCTCGCACTTTCTATGGTACGGCAATACGTCGGACGAAAACGCATGAAAGACGAAGAATGTTGCAAGAAAAAGAGAAAAAAGAAAAAAAGGAGACACGAACAATTGTTACACACTCTTTATCCCTTCTCCGTCTAATGCAAGTAATCAACCCACCGGCCGATCCTGCACTGTTGTGATGACGCATGTAACACATACAACGATATTTAGACTTCGTCGTTCTGACACTCCTACGCCAAAAAAATCAGTCTATCTCTATTTTTTTTTCTCTTTTCTTGTTATATTTTATAATTTATTTTTACAAATTTCATTAGTGAACTATCTAATTGATGAAATACTAGTAAATTGTTTCAGAAAGATGCATAAAGAATTTGTTATCCTTTTCTTGTTCTTGTATTTCAAAATGTGAAGTAATTATATGATATTAAATATTCATTTGTCTAAGAATAAAAAAAAAAAAGAACACAATGAAAAAAAAAAAACAAGAAAAACTACAATCGTATGTGTTTGACTCTACTAAGAAAAAAATGCGGAAATAGGCTTCGATCAGTTAGTTATTCATCATGCATTGAATGCATGAGCATGCTATCCATCTATTCACCCAATCAACATAAGATCATTAATCAAAAGAAAGTAATGAATGATTATTCGACCGACTGATTCCCTTGCCTGTCAGATAGACAAACAAATAAAAACTACTACAACGATATAGTGGTCAAGCAATAAACTAATCCTATTTATATCAACATAGAGGGCGTTACTTTTTCTATCGGTCGAATATATTAAATATTTATTTCTCTACATAAGTTAAGAATTCCATGTGATAGTTTATTCTTAAATCAATCGAGCCATTGATCTAAGAAGATCGAAATTAATATTTAGAAGATAAAATTATGCAGAACATATTGTTGTGGAACTTGACAAATTATTTATTATAGTAGAGATATATACTGCATCTGAACTTATTTCTTTTAATGAATCGATCGTTCTCAAAGTTCAAAATACAAAAAAGAAAACGTATTTATTTATAGGTCGTGAAACATGACCATATGCATGCAATTTGAGTTGTTAGATGAACTCTCTTATCAAGAGTAAAGCTAATTCAATTATATATTTCTATAGAGCCTATAGGCAATATGAGTGACATTGCAACTGCTAATTAATGTCATAGATTAGTTGAATTATGAATCGTTCCCAAGATGGTCTTATACTATTTGAACATTCATTTAGTCATAAAAGATAATAGATTTCAGCATAAGATTGACTTTCAATTAGAAGAAAAAGTTTAAAGACAATGAATTCAACGGCTTTTATAAGAAGTAAAATTAATGTTAATTCAACCGAGAAAATAAATTTAACATGAACGGTATATATTGCTACTTTCTTCTATTTTAAATAAGTTGTTCTCAAACTGAATTAATGAAGCTGTTTCACATCAACATGAACTCTTTGTGGTTAACAAGAGAAAAAAAATTACTTAACACTCTCACAAATATGATAATGAAAAGTATTCTTAAATACTTTTTTTAATAGTTGAGATTCATTAGACTAGTATTGTTTTCCTTAAGTGTCTCTTTCTCTATATATACAGATGAATTATTAACAAGTAGTTACCTTAATGTTTTATGCATCGTCACATTTGACTACTTCAGAAAATAAATGAATGAAATTGTTTTTGTTTTGGACTTTTCTCCCTCGATTAAATTATATAGTGAATGTTTCCTGTGGAGATTATATAGTATAACAGTGGATAATCAGATGTATTTTAAAGTACTTTTTTTTTGTCTATGTAATTTTTCTAAGGAAATAGTCATGCTCATAGACGCAAGCGTTTTAATTCATGGATTAATCCATTAGGAATTCAATTCCACAAAGAAAAAATGGTTTGATTTCTTATCAACATCTATTGATAAGATATTAGTTTATTTTGATTGAAAATTTGATGAGATGATGATGATGATGAAGAGAATATCGTTGTTTTAAAAATAAATTAAAATCCAATTGTAATATTAAAAATAAAACAAAAATAGTTTCTTAAATCATATTCAAACAGTTTACTTAGTATCGAACAAAAATATTTCGTTCGTTATATTTATATATGAAATTAGTTTTTTAATATTAAGATTACACTATATGTTTAATAAAATTTAATAAGATATGCGTGACTATCAGTGATTCTTAATCTTGTCTTTTTCTTAGCATGTAATGAAAAGTTCTATAATGTTTTCCCATTATCAACATAAATAAAGCAAATCATCTTTAGAAAATATGGTATAATATACCACGAGGAAGTATTTAATAGTCGATGTTTATTATTCCTAATTCCAATAATGATTGGCTGTTTTACTGTCTAAATTAAAACAAAAATAATTCTGAATTTTTTGTACAAATGTTTCATGTAGATATATATATATAGATAATATTATTTTGTATTTTTTGCGCTCTTATTTTATTCAAATGAGTTTCTTCTAGAGGTCTGCAAAGTGTTCATGGTCATAGTCATGACTTGACTGTAATCGTGACCATTTTCGCAGAAAAATTCTCGGCTAATTATGTATTGTTTTTGAGGCCGTGTTTAACTGACCAAATATAGGTGCTTTCTGATAATATGAGTCCTTAAGTAGAGTCATTTTGAAGTTATCAGTACTACTAGAAACGTGTGGGATCGGGACGGAAAAATAAAATGTTTTGAAACTGAACTGGCACTAAAACAGCCATATTCTTACTTTTGTTATTAGGGAGGTAGTTAGTGACTTGTATTTAATTGAAGACGAGCTAAATACGTTCATCCATTGATACTTCTTCGGACAATACACACTCTTTGTACACATGAATTGCAAAAATTGTCGATTTCTTGAGCAGAATTTCAATGTGTTCTAAATCTATGATGACCTTAGATTTGCTTTCAATTTTTTTGGTCAAGGGAAGACTATTTTTCAAAAACAAATGTTTTTCTTTAAAATATTTGAATGCAGGTTGTTTGGGCTGAAGAATAATAATCTATAGTTGATCTGATTAAATTCTCTAGTTTTGATTTTTTTCGGCCAGAAAAGATTTATTTCTCACGATTTAGCTCACTTGTTTCTCTATTTGCAACAGCAGTCTTCAAGTATATACTTTATGCTTAGTTAGTATAAAGAGTAAATTCGACTAAGATTAATGGACGAGGAGTGTTTTGAGCACCAGAAAAGGCGTGAAATGAGCACCAAAAATAAAACAATTGAGCACCAAATGAAAAAGAACCAATAAAAAACAATAGAAATTTAATTAATTATTGTATCAAAGAAGGAAAAGACTCGTATTAGACACATGTAAAGCTGCTATATTTTGATATCTTTCATTAACACAAATTAAACACATAACAACTAGTGATAAATGTTCCACCAAACGCAAGATTTCCATACACAATACACTACAGGAGTCGGACACCATAGTAAACATACATGCTGAGATATCCGGTCTTCAATAAAAACTTCGGATTCTAGCCGTCACCCTCAGTCTAGTTCTTGCCCTGACTCACCCTCACCCTCACTCTGGTTCTCGCCTTCATAAATTAATCTGTGTTAATAAAAGATATCAAAATATAGCAGCTTTACATGTGTCTAATACGAGTCTTTTCCTTCTTTGATACAATAATTAATTAAATTTCTATTGTTTTTTATTGGTTCTTTTTCATTTGGTGCTCAATTGTCTTATTTTTTTGGTGCTCATTTCACATATAGAGAAAATCGGTGCTTATTTCACATATCGATAAATTTGGTGCTCATTTCACTCCTTCTCTGGTGCTCAAAACACATTTTTTCCAAGATTAATTAATGCTCTAATACATATTGTTATTTGAATGTTTTCAAACGTCTTATCCTTCTGAGCAGTGAAATCATAACATTCACTTTTGCCTATTGTGTATATAATTATAGGCTATCGAACAGCATAGCTAGTTCTATTTCAAGGTCTTGTAGTTCGTACTGAGTGTTATATGCTTTAATTGCTCACATAATCTTCTTTCGTTTGTGTGAAAAACTTGTAGACTGCATATATTTTGTTTATGTTGTCACAGTACATCAATTGATTAATCGTCATATATTGCTGTAGAAATGAATCACAATATTTAGAACTTGTAATGTAGTGTCAATTTATTCTGATGATTTTTACCACACGCATACTTGAAATAATTAGGATTTTTTTTTTTCGAACAGATTGAATCGTCCAGTTCAAATATAGAACTCAATCGTTGAAAAATCAGCCCAGTTAGTATATCAGTTAATTAATTATTTCGTTCGAGAAAATTTTGTTACTATAGTTCCACGAATGTATACATTTTAAAATTCATACGACTCTTGAAGTTGCTAGTAGAGTAGTAGCTTTTATTTTTGTCTATCACATTCTACATAGGCTAATTCAAACAACGAACTGGTTGATAATTTTTCATCGAGTAATTCACAACAACTGATGTTTAATAACACTTACGGTTTGTTTTGCCTAACTTTCTGTAGTAAAGATATATGATTTCTTTTCAAGCATTTAATAAGTTCAATCTATTCATACTTGATATCATTACTTTATACGAAATAAGACTACTGAAAGCTAGTTAACTTTTTGCGACCATAATGAATTCATGCAAAATAATCTGAGACCCATATTGTACCATGCGAATCTGTGAAGTCAATATTTAGAGCAGATATTTTGAGGATGACTTGAAATTAGTCAGTTAGAGATATTCAAGC